AAAAAAAAAACACAAACAAAAAAGTGCATGTAATATTAACAGACGAACTACGCTCATATTTATAATTCCAAACAATCAGTAAGCAACAGGTGCTAGGAAACGCTGTTTTGTACTCCTTTATTGAGGAGTCGGCTGCGGTGTGGCCAACTGAATGCGCTGCTTCTCTGCCGCTCACTGCACAGAACAGACGCCGAGAGAGGTGACACTTCTCCGGGAAAGTCAGACCTCGCGTTCGCAGGACAGCACTGGCGAAATCCTCCAACTGAACCATAGCTAAGGTTTATCCAAAAAAGTCTCTAGGTTTGTTAGTATGAATATTCTATGGAAAAAAGCCGTTAAAAGGGCCTGAAAGTTGCTAAATATAGTGCTAAAGTCGCGCTCGTGTGTGTGTGTGTGTGTGTGTGAGAGACGCGGGAGCTGATGGCAGGGGGCGGTGGATATTTGTGGCGGGGGATAATTGTGGGGGTCAATGGGGATATTGTGGAAGAGTTCTTCTGTGTCATCACGTTCTATTAGTTCTACAGCTTCACTTTCAGAACTTTCACACTTTCACACAGTGCAACAGTGAAAAGGGACCCCTTTCAAACAGTGTCGCGTTCCGAACGTTGTTTAAGCGACATACACCGTATTGCGGTATTTTAAAAATTCATATCATAACAAAAATAAACACCGGTATTTGGTATGAACTGGTATACCGCCCAGCACTACTTTCAATACGATTTTTTCCAGCTGATGAACAATAAAAACAGTTACAGCCAATCAGAATCAATCATGCTGTAATGCGCTCAAGAATTTAAAGCGGCAGACGCGCGTGCGCTTAGAATAAACAGACAGTATCGTTCACTGGTGTGGATGCTAATATCGTTATCTTTATAGTTATCGTTCTTGGTGTGAACGGGCCTTTAGAATCTTAAAATGGCCAAATATTGGCCAATTTCTTGACTGTTAGGCAGAGAATCATCTTGTTTAATGGTCTAAAAGATATTTGTGTCAAGTGGACTTCTCCAGCCTCGCTGCTGTCCTTTAGTTAAGGATGGCCTAACAAAGTTTTCCACTCTCCATGGAGATGTTGGATGCTAGTGCAGATGCAATCTCATTATTCAGTTCAGCAAGACTGTTGGTGCCTCATGTAAGCGTCATGCAGTTCTTCGCTTCTCTCTTTGCTGCACTGCTGAGCAAAGCCACACGAGTCGTCACAGGCTACGCAGCAGGAAAGATCTCTCTGTATATTTATGTTAATGCACTTTATATTTACTCATTCATGTCCCATTCCTCTGTGTTTGTCAGTGGGCTATGTAGTGTATGCATAAAAAATGTTAAAGGCCATCTGGCACAAAATATTGTGCCAATTGTAGCCTTATGTGTATAGATGTACGCTTGCTGCCGTGTGAGGGAGGAGAGTGAAAGGAAGAAGATAAAAGATTGTGTGTCTTGGCTTGAGAAGATGCTGTTAGTCATGCCAGTGCTGTCCCTTTGAATCCAGAATGCAAGGGGGACGGGGGGACATGTGCTCTGGCAAGGCAAGAAAAGGACACAGTATTCTCATTCCATCTCTGTCCTATCTTAATATTGGTTGCTTCGTCCGTCTTTCTTCTTATCTTCATGTGGCTTAGTAAGACCTGCTATGCTTGACTTTGCATTAGTGTCCCTTGCCAGAAGGCTTTTTGGCTTTCTTGAGTGCCTCTACATAGATCATACAATTAATTTCTTTGGATGATTTGTGCTACAGAGATCGTCAGATTTGAGTTGCGGTTCAAATATGGTGACAGATTATGATAGAGCATCACCTTTAAAGCAACATTCTGGTTATTTTCAAGATTTTTTTTACAATTACCACAGTGGCAGATAAGTTTTTCTGTTTGGTCGACTTTTACTTTTAAAATAAAAACAAAAGAAACTTTCATTTTGACAGTGTGCAGGACATTTAT